CTTACGGCAGAAACGAAGGAAAAAGATCAAACTTTCAAATCGATCCTTTTGTAAATCAAATCCAAAAAGGTCGTGCATCATCATCAAGTGAGTCAATTCGAGATCTCCTTTCTTGCAACAAGATGGTGAGGCCAGGTGCAGGCTACTACCCCGAATGGAGGCCCGAGACGTTCAACGAGCTGGACTACCTGGTGCTCTTCGCCGGGTTCTGCGTGGCAATATGGATCTTCGCGAAGCTATGCGGATTCGTGACCACGCTCGTCGCGGGCGTCGTGAGATGGCTCCTAATCTTGGCTTGCGTAATGCTGCCGCTCATCTTCGTACTCCAGCTCGAGCAAGTACAACCGATGAGGCTCAAACTGCGCCGAATGTACGACGAATCCATCCTCCTTCAGCCCCTGTACATCTTCCTCCGCGACTTCCTCATCACGACTATCAATTGGATGCGAGGACGACGATACGTCGACGAGTTATAGGGCGATAGAGTTGGTGGTGTAAAGAGAGCTGGTGGTAGAGGTGTAGAAGAAACAGATGTGGTCCTTCAATACAGCTGCCTCTTTGTACATACCACCTCGCTTCTGCAGGTCCGGACAACATAAGTTGGTTGTTCTCGTGTGCGTCAGTGCACGCCAAGAAACGCGCGGCGGGCGCGAACATCGGCCTTGGCACGGGCCGCCACACCTCCAGCACCGGAGCGCTGCAGCTCTTTGTCTTCAGCGGGCGTCCACGGCTCGTACCACATCTCTGCGTGTGACCACCAAAGACATCAAACGTGTTGAGACACAGCAGAGACCATAAACCAAGGGAGGCAAGGGTAAACATACGGCGGCCCCGAAGGTAGAGGAGAGCCAGAGCGGGATCGCCAGAAGCCACCGCCAGAGCGTGGAACACGACGGATTCGGCCTGGCCCGTTTCTTCTTGCAGCCTTGGCCAAGAGGGAGAAGAAGAAGATGATGATGAAGAAGAGGTTAGGAATCACCCGCACACACCACAACGGGAGCCGATGAGCAGGAGGGATTCTACCTGGCCACGACGTGTTCGACTTCCTGGACTCGTCCACCAGGCTTGCGGTCTGTTCGCTCCTGGCCGCTGGGCTTTAATACCATCCCAGCCTCCACTTCTTCAGCTTCGCTGTCGGGCGCCTTCCCATTTTCGACTTCCTCCTCCTGGCTGTCGTCTTGGATCTTTCTCCGCTTGTCCTTCGGGGCCGGGGAGGCGGTCTTCGCGACAGCCGATGATGGCGTCTCGCTGGCTTTCCGTTTGGCGGTGGTCGTGTTGGTGGTCGTCAGCGTGCTGGTAACGGTTCTGCTCTTGGCGCTGGGCTGCTGCTTCGGTGACTTCTTCAGCCCATCAGACACCTCCTCCCCAGCGTCCTCACCCTCGTCTTCATCTTCGACGCCGTCGCCGTCTTCTTCCGCTTCCTTTTCTTCGCCCTCTTCATCTTCTTCGTCGTCGTCTTCTTCTTCTTCTTCGCTAACGTCGAGGGTGTTCGCTTTTCCAAACAGCTGCTTCCTCACGGGCGTGCTGCGGTCGTGCGCCACCGACACACGGCGCGATCCGCTCGTACTAGGCCTGGCAAAGCGCGAAGCACCACCACAATGGCACGCCGCACGATCAGCTTGGCACAGAGTGGAAGAGAGAAGAAACACAAAACGTGTACCTGGGCGGAGAGGCTTTGGCGGCCACCGAGGTGGTGGAGGAGCTCGTCGAGGAAGAAGAAGTCGAGGTTGCGGCCGACAGACTGCCCAGGGCCTCCTCCACAGGCAGGATGCGCTTCAGATACCGGTCTTTCAGCGATTGCCAGGTGCGACCCGGCACCACCTGCAATCACCCACGCACGTGCGTGAGAGGCCAATTAGGGAGAGGCTCGACGTCGGGCGGTCGGCGGGCAGACCTTTGATTTCTCCATCTCCATCCAGATCGTGGTGCCGGTGGGGCTGAACGCGAGACTGAGGCTGCTCACGTAGCTCTTGATCGTCTCGTCCTCCTCTTTGGTGTAGGCTCTGCGCCCTCTGGCCAGGTACCACGTGCGCACCACGTGTGTGTGTGCGCGCGCTCGATGAGTACGAAGGGGCGCGTCGCGCTTCAGCCGAGGAGGAGGAGGAGGAGGCCAAAGGGAGTGTTGAACTTACTTGGCCGCGGAGGGCGAAGCACTCGTCGCTGTAGTCTTTGGTGTCGTTGTCGTAGCTGGAGCCGTCGCCGTGGTCTTAGTCTTGGCGGAGGGAGCCGGCGAAGGTGGAACCTGGACCCTGTAGGACTCCAACGGCTGAGAGAGCGGCACAAGATCAGCGGTGCGAGAGGGAGACAGCATGTGTGTCTGTTAACAGATCACTTAAAAAAAGAGCAGGGAGGGGTGCCTGTAGGCTGTTCTTGCGGATGGAAGAGAGGACGTAGTCGTAGGAGTATACCTCCGCGCCCGGAGGTGCTCTGCAGTGCCACGGGGCAGAGGGCGCCAGTGCCAGCACGTTGGTGAGATGAAGACGAGCAGACCAGGCAAGAGAAAAGAGAAGTACGCACCTGCCATAGTAGTCGGGAGGAACGAGCACGATCAAATCCTTACCCCACTTGGCATTAACTTGGCCCCCGTGCTCCTGCGCAGTTGCAACAGTTTCTAGCTCAATCATTGCAAGCCATTATCAATCTCAATCTCTTGATTACGATTCGTACCTCAATTCGGCTAATCATTTCGCCTTTTCTGTCGGCGGGCGGCAAATAGAAGCCCATGGGCTTTTTGTTCTGAGTGAAGAGCGTTGGTGCGGCCTGCATCTTCTTGATACCTAATTTCTGGAAAAGTGCCTAAAATTAAATGACCAGCTAACGGCCTAATTCCTGGAATGTTTTCCGCCAAATAATTATTTAATTACAATTTCTGCAGACTCAGTTTCGCATGCGTGTCGCGTTCTTTTGGATCTCCTGCGTGATCCACTGCGGCCACTCGTGCGGATCGATCTGCACCAGTGCGTGCACGTACATAGAGTCAGCAGTGGGCATAAACACACATGTGCAGCAGTTGTGACGGGGTGACGCACGTTCATCCGCTGAGCTTCGGAGTAGAGCTGGTAGACGTCTATGTTACAGTAGTAGCCCTCTGTCGTTGCGTTCATCTTGGCGAAAACCGCCACACTCACAAAATACCTTGATGTGATGGACACGACGAGGTGAAAGAGAGTGTAAGTCAGCACCTGACTAAGCCCGCCACGCATGAAGAAGAGAGGCGTACTTCTCCGACATATCGGCATAGGCGCTGTCCAACACCTTCAGCTTCCGTTCCGTCAGTTCTAGCTGGCGATCTTTTCGCACCAGCTCCTCCTTCAGCATCTCGACCTCATCTTTTCGACCTGGTTTGTGTATGGTGATTAATAATAATAATAAAAAGCGAGTCAAGCAGAGGCGGGAGGCCAGATCCTCTGAAGGCGCACGCACCTAGCAGAGTTCCTCTTCCAGAAAAGCCGCTGGCGCCGGAGATGGGGTTGAGCGAGTTGAGTCCGCTCTTGGCCATGCTGAGCAGGTTTTGCGACGTGCCCCGCCGGGCCTCCGACTCGCTGTTGTAATCCTCGATCACGGCCCCGTCCACTCCCCCTGTTTTGGAAATGTTGAGTTAATCATCAGCACCCGGATTGGCGCTTGTCGAGCGTAAGACAAATGACAAAAAAAAACGACTGATAAACAAGTTTTCACACAAAATTAAAAAAATTAGGATCTCGGGTGTAGGCCGGGGGATCTACCAGATGGCCCGACATCCACGACAGACTGGCGGATTGGCACTTCGGAATAGGCCATGGAGTACCGTGGCGAGGGCTTCGCCGGACCTCCATTGCTGGCTGGCGTTGAGGCGGACGGTAGGGATGTGGCTGACGGTTGGTGGGTAAGCGGGGCCACGGCTGGCGGTTGCTGTGGCTGGTCGGCCACTGCAGAGGCAGGAGCCTGATGTCACACGCGCGGTTGGTGAGCCGAGGCGCGCCCGCATGCATCACGAGGAGATGAGGGAGAGGAGTACCTCAGATCGGGCGAGTGTGACCGGCTTGGGCAGCCCATACAGAACCGAGAGCGCCATCTGAATGTCGATCGCCCACTTGTCCCTCTCCGGTGTCGAACCCGCCGCCAGGATGTACGTGCCTGCACACACGTCCGCGCAACGGACGGGCAACCAGGAGCGTTATTTAATTACCGGTCACAGAAAGGTCGAACGCGAGTACGCACAAGGTTGTCGGCCCGAAAAACACGAATTGACAAATAAATAAAACAAATGAACAAAAAAAAAGAGATAAATAAATGTATGGGGGCGTACGAGAGGGCGTTTCTATGGCAAAGCCGCAGCCCGGCGAAGGATCGGTGGGGCGGACCTTGTCCCGAATGTAGATAATCTTGGACGTGCGCTGTGACATGAATGGGCGATATGAGAAAGAAGCACAATACAATCGTACGATTTGCCCAATTTTGAGTGATTTTAAGCAAGTCGTTGCAGCTTGCACAGAAAGGAGCACACGTACGTCGAGGAGGATAAAATCGATGGGTTTGCTGGGGGCATCTTTCTGCTGCTTGAAGTATTTGAGCTTTTTCCCATCCAAGACGAAGTATCGTCGCTTCCAGCTCTTGCGCACTCCACCCTGCTTGTCCAACCAGCCCTCAATCGTCGGCAGGCCCTGCATCGCGAAGGCTTGTGTGTGCTGTAGAGCCTTGCGCGTAACGAACAAGAAGCAGAGTTCACCGCAGTTGCCACCAGGAAAAGGCCCAAAGAAATAATATTCTTACTATTCAATAATTCAATTTCAAATGTCGGGTTTGCCAAGCGGAGCCAAGACGAGGCTGGCTTGGCGGCGGTGGGTGACTCCGTTTGATCTTCTCCAGCTCTTGCCGCAATTTGCCCTCCTCCTCTGCTTGTTGCGTCAACTTGAGTGTGAGCGCTTGCACCTTCAACTCCTGCGTTGCGAGTTGTGTCTTGAGTCCGCGCACTTCTATCTTCAGCCGGTTGCGCTCCTGTACGACACCCGCACCCCCTGCCTTGGCGCCGAAGACGCCGAAGGCCTGACGCAGCGCCTTCTGCTCCTCCTCGATGTCGGTTCGGGGCAGCAGGGTGTCGCCGACGGGCTGCAGCGGGGCTTCCACAGGGGCGGGCTTGATCAGCTCCTCCATGCGGCGGGTGACGGTGCCTCGCATGGCCATCAGCTCGGCATCGCCGCCGGCCTGCAGCGCACGCTCGACAAACGTGCAGCCCGAGCGAACCACGGAGAGCGCCACTTCGAGGTCCTGCTTCTTGGCGTTCAGGTCAGTCTCGT